AAGAAGCGGTAGAATCAGGATTGGGACCTGAGTCCATCTGCTGCCAATGTCCATGTTCTGGATCCTACAACTTGCCGCCCCTCTGCTTCAAATTAGGCGAAAACAAGGTTAATGAAACAGAAGTCTCACACAGTCTCCTGTTTACAAACATGCATACACCACCCAAGCACTCAATGCAATGCCCGGCAATGCTGGGCCGGTCAGGGGCAGGCCAGAGAACTAGTCCGAGTCCTGTGTGAGAAGAGGAATCAGGCAAGACCAAGCTTAATATTCTTGTCAGTTATTTATTATTTGTCATTCTAAAGACTAGCACATTTACAGCATACATGGCTTTGAATGAGCTAAGAATATATAAAACAGTAACTACATGTTTATGTATATTAATACTGCCCCAAACAAATAAATAAAAGTATTTTAATGCACTAAGCTTGGCAAATACAATTGTGTAGGGACAAAACTGTATTATACAATATTTTTACATCTTTAAAGGAAACTAAAGGCAACTGTGCTGCAGGAGCTCTGACAGAACCCACGGGGCATTCCCAGTTTTCCATAGATCTCATTTCACTTATTAAATGGGGAGGCCTTGTAAGGAATACTGGACGGGACCTCTATTTTACAGTAACCTGTAAAACTGCCTTCCCTGTGCAACTACAAACACAAAGCTTGTATGGAAAGAGAGGTGCTGCTGCCTCCGAGGCCAGACCACGGGCCCCCTCCCGGTAAGCTTGGGGAGCGTGTGACGCCACCATGAGCCCGGGAACAACGCCTCCAGAGAGAATACTGAAACTGGAGCTTTTCTACATGATTAGCCGATGATTAGAGTTTTATGATGACCAATAATATAAAGCAAAAGTCGGGAAAATAATTCATATAAATGTGCCACATGCAAAACTGACAGATGACTCAACATATGTTCTATTCCCTTTGATAAGTGCAGATAGTTAATGTTCTTCAGACAAAGAAAAATTCCGAAAACGGTATGGGTTACACTTTAAAAAACATGGCAATTTTTTAAAAGGTAGTGACATTAAAATGAGAAAAGATGGAACTAAAAAATTAGAAATAAAAGATGAAATGGTGAAAGGCTGGATCAGCCATATTAAAAACTGTCTTTGAACAAAGATTGACATTTAAAGAGGAGCCTCTGCAACCAGCCTCCCACCCTTCAGTGAACCCAGCTTTGAGGGAGGGGCAGAGAGTGCGTCCCCTGTGACAGCGTCCTCTGCCACCTCACATCTTCCTCCCAGCAGGCGTCTGGAGGCAGCAGGCTCTGACTGCCCATTCTGTGTCCCTGCCCAGGAGTGGTCCTTACTATGTCTCAACACCCTGGGCACCCCTGGCCCAAGTTCGTTATGTATTTCTGAAGGAGCCAAAGGCTCCTAGACTTTTAGACATAAGAATTTCTAAGAGGTTCTCAAATCATTAGGATCAGCATCAGTAATATGTGCCACATACATTTCTTTTACAGACTTTTAAATGTAAACATAAGCATCATAAACAGAATTGATAAAACATACAAACTTCTAAGAAAAAAAACTCTGCTATGTGCAGATAAGACATCACCATCTTATAAAAGATGACCAGACATAATTTTCTATGAAATTCTTAACGTTTTATGGCCCATAAATCCCTTTCAAACTCTCACTTGAGATAATTTCAACTGTTTCTCAATAGTCATCGGACATAACAGAATGAGAATAGGAATAACAATTACTGCAAACCTAAAAATAAGCCACTTTTATCAGTCCTTCAAACATGATTGTATTGTCTTTTAGAAGAAGATATATTGGAAATCCTGCAAAAGAACATTGGTTCGAAAATATTTAGGTTTCAACTATCTCTCCAGGCATAACTTCCCCCTCGCAGTGATGTCTCTCAGACATCAGAGAGGCCGCATTAGAGGTCCTCGATTGATTGTAACTCAGCATCCAGAGAAGGAAGGGAGATGTGCCCTGTGGGCATGGGGTGACCTAGACGTGGAGCTTTAGAGAACAGGAGACAGTGTAAAGGCCCTTACTGCTGACTTTATGTCTCAAGCTGTCACCCTGTTCTGTAACTCAAGAGGGACAGAAAGAAGAGTGGCCCAATTGTGTGGGCTGCTTTGCAGGTGTTACCTACTAATAAAGTGTTGCCTACTAATAAAGTCTTATCTCTGGCTGATTTGTCAAGATTTCTTTCAACTTCTGGTCTCATAGGTGGTGGTGCGAATAGGATAATTCATTAGAACCAATTCCTTTCACTGTGTGACAGTGCTAGCTTCTTTCCCCAGAACTTGAGTTAACATTTAACATCTACTGGTCTGTCTAGGATCCAGTTATTTAATGTGTTATTTACTGTTTTACATTTGGATTTTTAAAAAGTAGATTGCAATTCAAGGGTCACTTTTGAGTTACTCAGAAGAAAAATAAGGTGAGCAAACAGACATTTGAAAGAGTCTTCTAGCATTTCAGACAAACTTAGCTTGATTCTGATGAGTAACTATCAATGATACCTGCGTGGTTATAGCCAAAGGCTATGTGAATGAGCAGCCATTACTCTCCACGCTATTGAGCCAAACATTACCTCCTACTGATTCCAATGGGGGAGGGGGGAACATGCTCCATAGACTCTTTACTGAAATATTTGTTTAAAAATGACAAAAATAAAACCAATCCTTCAGGTCTTCTAGAAGAGTTCATATATGACACTACTAGAGGGTACCCACATTTATTATGTTAACAGCTAATTAGAGAAAACCGTGTGTTCATGTTTCAACTTTTCCGTAAGTCCCTTCGGGAGGCCTGTAATGCTTGGGGAAAGCCTTCAGCTGCAGGGAATTAAATGCATATTTGCGACTTCCAACATTCTTCATAGTATTTTCTCTTCGACAACCCTCACTGGGGAAAAAAACAAGCACAAGAAATGACAGCAGTAAAAAAGGAAAAAAGAAAAGACTTAAAACTAAGATGAAATGATTATTTTCATAACATTAAAAAAAAGATTAATTTAAATGGGTGCCGGACTCATTTACAACAAATACATACGTAAGATGGCAGGTTCCTGAACAGGCAATTAAGAAGCACAGAGATGGACTGGACGCATGCTGTGTGGGGCCGTGAGTTTTGCATTTTCAAAAGCAGCGTTGTAACTGGAAGCAAACTTTTTTTCTCTTAAGTTAATAATTTCAGGTATCTCCTGTGTAGTTAGTTACTCAGAGTTCTATTATTAATGGAAGGAGAAATATTACACTCTTACTAAAGCTTGTAAAGAGCTGCACTTTTCTGCATTGGCAAGATGTATAATCACATCAAATTCAAAATGTTGATTTTCCTTGTAGAATTCAACACATAGCAAAGCCCTCTGGCTGAGAAGGCTCGGACATGCTATCTCCACCCAGGGGACAGTTGTTCTACCTGCAAGGCAGTCCAGTGGGCCCGTGCACTGTCTACAGAGCAGGTCTGTCGTGCAAGAGGGACCCCACTGGAGTCCCTGGACTCCACGGAGCTGGAGTGTCATGCAGGAGGGACCCCACTGAGGTCTAGTGGCAGCCAGCCACCCTTCTCCAGGTGGGCTGCCCTCAGGTGGTCACTTCTTGCATAAGTGCCACTAAGCCAGTAACAGCCCGTAGATGCCCTTTCCTAGAAAACTTGCTACCAGCATCATCCCCAGCTGCATTTGATGGAGGGTTGTCATGGCAATCCAGTGGGCAAAAGCAAATGCTGCACAGAAGGCTGCACAGCCAGGCAGGCCCCAGTCCTCAGTGAGAGCATCAGAGTTTTCTGGTATAGACATAAAATTAACAGGCAAAGGTGATTTTCAATATAAATGACTTCCTACAGCACATGATAACCTGACATTTTATGTTGTTCTATGACTAGCAATGACATCAACTAGTTATCAAATTTAGTATAAAATCCCCTTTATGAGATGTAAAATTTGCAGTTACTAAGAAACAGTGGTTTACAAAAAAATTCAAGTTGTGTGACGACCGTATGTCATGCACTTTAAAAAAATATCGGTGGCAAATGCTCAGGCCTTTAAGGTGAAAAGGACAGTCTCATTATCGAGAACACGTAAAACAGTTTTGATAAGACAGTAATTTTTTTTCAAAAGATAAGCTCTGGTATTTTAGAAAAGTATCCACCTGGTTGTTATTAACTGATCTGGTAACTCAGATATGCTTTTGTGTCACGGAGCCTCGAGCTTTCAGCTAGATGTGTGTCATTCATCTGAGCCAAACACCTAGGCCACATGAGCAGGGCCCTCTTGAGTAAATAATGATATTTGCCCAACATTCAGTAATCAAAAATGTACTTCCACTTAAAGCAGAAGTTATAGGATCCTATGCACAGTTAACCTCCTTCCGTCTTTGGACCCTGTTCCATTAATGGACTATTTCAGATATGGCTTCTCCATTTATATAGGAATTTGTAAACTTTTTAAAAACCACCTATTGCCAGTAAATGCCAACCTGAGGAGCAAAGAATATGTGAATTCTGACATGAAGTTATAATCAAGATGACACTTTCATTTCAATTTCATTTTTGAATCAAATTATATTTTCTTTTCCCTTAATGTTTGAATTTACAAAGTCTAGGTGATGTGGCTGATCCACACGCCAACTGTCATCTTCTGGTCTCTGCATTTAGATTAGCTGGCACTGGGGCTCAGGATGAGGCATGCAGAAGTGGCAAGGGTGCACTGTGCTAACTGGCATTTCCTGCATAGAGGCCGGGCTGCTGCCTCTAAGGAACACTTCAGTGATGTCACTAGCTGTGTCATTTTTAGGAGTCAAAGACACATATTGAGAAGGTCTTAAAATAGATGTTAACAAGAGGGATTATTTCCAAGCTCCATAACTATTTTTATTATATCAATAAATTAATTCCCTTTAATAATCTATTTCTGAAATGAAAATTAGAAGGGAAATCCCAGATGACAACTAATCTTAGGAAAACTCTGTTTCTCCCTTTCTGGTGGGACCTTCCACTTTAGAACTCTTCTGGTGACATCAGTGCCTTAGTGATTCTGTGGAAGACGCAAGTAGTGGCTGCTTCTCCTGTTGCTGTGTGGAGGGAGAGATGGCTGTTGTGTTAAGATCTCTGCTGGGACCAAGTCACAGGAGTAAATGGTGACTGTCAGAGTCGTTAAAAAAAACATACAACCATCTATGGAGAATTTCTCCTCAGTGTGATTTCTCTAACTTCAGAAAGCTGATTGCAGGTAGAATACTGCATACCTCAAGGGGGTTGACATTGACACTATCTCAGTGCTAACATTACTTGAGAAGCAACATAAAAATTATCACCAAATATCAATGACTCCCCTTTCTTGAATCATTTCCCTACCTTTATTTCATCCCATCTCTCACTAAAGCAGACAAGATTTTGGATATGTATATGGACTCATGAGCAAAAGGCCTTAGTGATATTAAAATTCAGCATAAATGTTGATCATACTCAGATATTTTAGAGAAAAAAAAATAAAACCAACCCATGGCCTAGGCTGGTGTCATGGCGTCCTCTCTAGTGCCAGCCCTCCATGACTGTGCAGGCACATGCACTGCCTTCCGACCCAGCCCCTGGAGGAGAGAAACGAAGAACCTTATCCTCTCTCCCTTTGGTCCCATTTCTCTTCCACCCCAATAGCCAACCCACATGGGACAGTAAGGTGTGGCTGGCACCATAACAGCTGAGGGTCAAGCGTCGTGTCCCTGAGGCCCTCTCAGAGGAGCACCTTGGCCTGGCCATGGCTCCCCTGTGCTGTGTGGCGGGGTGTTAGGAGGAGCCCTTGAGAATGCTATAGAAGCCCACCCATGCCCTGGGTGAAGGGGGCTGCTGGCTATAGTAGAAGGGGCTCCCTCCTCTGTGCGTGGGCTTTCCTGCCTCGAGCTCTGCCCTGGAGGTAGGCATGCACACCTGTCACCACTGTGGCATCAGGAGCTCATCGGCTGGAGCAGGGACCAGGAAACTGTGGAATGGGGCTGTGGACCTTACCTTCCCTCTTTCAAATAAAGCGGACAAGATGTCTCAGAGACCTAAAGTGTGCACCTCTCTGTGAAAAAGGGCAACACACCTTTCAGGGAACCACAGACTAGATAGGACACTGTCCAGTAACTAGTGGTATGCTACTGCAACTCGGCACCACCAATCAGCTGGCATTTGGTGAGTGACTGGCCCCTGAAGGATGCCAGGACCTAGGCCCCACAATAGCTACCTCCTTTATTCTGAAGAGATAAGTGAACACTGCACTTGGCCAAGAGTGGGCTCACCTTCAGGGTGACACAGAAGTGATGCCAGCCCTGGGGACCCTGCAATGCTCAGGAGGTCTAGAAAGAAGGGTGTTCCTGGGGAGTGGTGAGGACTACACTTTAGAATTTAGAGTTTGAGGTTGGTGTTTGCCACTCATTGCTAACCTTGTTCTAGGATTACTAGAATCTGGACTTTGAGCTGATGCCAAATGAGAGAAACCCTAGAGTGAGGTTTGGGAATCTTGGAGAATGGAGAAGCCAGATTTTGTGGTAGAATGGGTTTGCATGCACAAATGGGGTCAAACTTCTGGAAAAGCCAGTTTCTCTAAATTCACTCCAATTTTTCTAGACTGGTGAAAAGAAATCCACTCCAGAAAATAAGTGTTTGGGGAACAAGCTGGAGGATGCAAAGAGAAGTACAACATGGTAATAATATGAACTGGAAGAGAGAAAAGCCACCGACTATTCTTATACAGGGTGTGTGGGACTTTTCCCAATTTAGTTGGTTACCTTTATAGGGGTACAATTGCCTTCTGCCACATGTGAATGTTAAGATTGTAATTCACCTTGTTTTAGGGACATTGCTGTTTTAAAATGAAGAATAGTAATAGCAGAAACCAAAGTGACCCTTTCTTATAACTCTATCTGCCACAACTACCCTCCTTAAGTCACTTTTTGGCCATTTTTTTCTTTGATTTTTTTCATTGTTAACCATATTGGATGGTTGAGAGAGAAAAGATGTTTGGACTTCAATCTGGAATTAAAGATGTAAGTTTTTAAATTAAAAATGCTACTTTAAGAAAAATAAATGTATACATCTTCAACTGTCTTTCGTTGCTGTATGCATTGCTTTCTGGAATCAGTTTAATGATCCACAAAGAGTTAAGAATGAATCTAAAGTCCCATGCAATAGGTTATCTTTATGATCCTGACTTGGTACAACATACTACTGTGTTCATGGCTTTGTGTCACCCCCAACTGGAAATAATAAACACGAGCAAGGAAGTGTTAATGGTTCTGCAAACTGTTTGCTACTGTAATTTAGGGACTACGCTTTGAAATGAAAGCAGAAAGTATAAGTCCTATTAAATAGGCTTGTCTAGAAAAGCCAGTTATAGAAAGCATCTGTCTTTTTCTGTTCATTTTTCTTCAAAAGGAAAGGAAAGGTTAGCAGTACACTTAAAGAATAGTATCAAATATACAAATTCTTTCAAACAGAATTCCCTTCTCTTGGAAACAGGGCACATGAGATGTACAGGTAATCAACAGTTTTACATCAGAAGGTTAAGAGATGTGGTAGAAGTAATTCCAGGCCAGCTAAATAATGCAGTGGCAGGGCACCGCGAGAACATGTTACAAGCACTGAAGACGTGATTTAAATGAACAAGTCCTCTTGGTGAAATAATTTGGCAGATATTTACAGTTCAGAAGACCAAAACGTCAAACTGTAAGGCATGAGAAATTTCTTGGCAGACCACGCTTTGACATTCCTTCTGTCCAGTTAGGTACCCGGTGGCTGGACATATTCTGGCACTTTTATTTTTCTTGTGACTTAGGAATTTTTCATAAGGATATTCATTTGCAACGCAATTTGGTCACCAGGTAGGCTATGCTCAGAAAGAGCCACACAATCAGTAAATTGGGGCTCAGAGCTAATAAAGGAAGGGAACAGAGGAGGCTGGGGTCTAGCCTCAAGTCTCGGATGGGCACCAGGCCGCTCAAGTTCTTCTGCGTGACTACCTCCCGTGTTCCAATGCTGTGAAAAGGAAAAAGTTGGGGAGAAAGGAAAAGACAAAAAGGAAAGGAACAAAAATAAAAAAAAAAGAAACACATGCGATGGATTTTATCAAAAGGTATGGGAAAAAGAGGAGAACCAAAAGATAAGATTAAAAAAAAAAAAGATGGAATGAAGCCACAACAGAAAGAAAAGATGATATGCAGAAAAAGGTGAGGGAAGACCAAAATAAAACCAGCACAGTTACAGGAAGAAAGGAGAGAAAGAGAAGTGAAAATAAGAAAAAATACTGCAATCTACTGAAAATAAACACATGTAGGTTGAATGAATGGTTTTCCATGTTCACTCTCTCTCGGCTGGCCAAGCACAACTCCATGCTGCCCTGCCATGCTCCCACATGCTGCAAAGACGGGGTTCTGAGAAGCAAGCTGAACATGAAGAACCATTGGGGGTTTGACCTTCTCACAGATGCCTGAGCGAGGGCGGTGCAATGCATCTGATCAAAGCTGCCTCTTGATTAACCACACAAATGAAAACCATTTACCTCAGGTGTGAACCAAACGCAGGGTCCTCCCCAGTCCAGCCTCGGGTCTCGGAATCAGCAGTGGCAGCTATGAGCCACTGTTGCCCCCAACTTTGCTAGTTACTGTTCTACACAGTGATCCCCAAGGATGAAATCCAACCAACCTCACACTGGAAATTTGGGATTCTTTCCCCTTTTGGTGCTATGGAAGAAATGTACTGAGGGGAGATGGCACCTAGAACCACGTGACCCTAGAACCACATCCATGTCCACTGAGTGGCAGCAGTGACCCAGAATCAGAGGTCCTGGGACACGGCAGGCAGTCTGGGAAGGATCCGCCTCAGCTTTCCCAGAGGAACTCTGAAGCCCTGGGAAGACCCTGCTGGAATGTGCTGTTACTGTGGGGACACTTTCCAAGCTGGCCAGCACTGACCAGTAATCACACTCCCAGCCAGGATAGGGTGGTGGCTCCTCAGGAGGCCCACTGAGTATTTCAGCCCCTGGAATGGGGTCAGAGGGATACTCCAGTGATATGCTGGATTTGGCACACTGAGTGGATAAATCTCTTCCCAGATCCAGGTTCAGGGATGCCACAATGGGAGCTAGAAATGGCCCCAGTGGAGATATTTATGCCACAGAAACTGGCAAACACTACAGACAAGGGTTTGGGGGAGAGAACTGGTTGTTGAATGTGTACAGCACAGCACTGACCACTACTCACCCTGGGTCTCCAGGAGAAAGGCAGCCTGGTGTCCCCTCGGCCCACCTACATGCTCTATTCTTCCATCTGAGAGATACATGTGAGAAAGTGAGAGAACCAAACACCTTGGTCTGCTCAAGGGCAGAGATGGACCACTGCCTTCTCCGGCTCTCAGCTCAGCCACAGGCCCACCCTGCAACCAGAACTGCCAGCTGGTGATCTAGCTGCCTTGGGCTCACAGCTGACTAAACAGACACATGTTCTCCAAGTGGGGCAATCCAGAAAACACAAAGTCGGGGTAACAGTGTCACCTTAAAACAGCAGATTTTAAGGACAAGCCTGACACTGCAAGGGTCTGCTCAAGGTGGCAACAAGCCCTGACCCTGGGCTGGGGCTGAGGGTTCCAGGGCAGGCAAACATGAAGGAGGATTGAGCTTTGTTTTGTTTTTTACTTCTTAAGAAGTTTTTTTACTTCTTAAATAATTATTTACAGACTATGTGCTCACTGTACAGATTTTAGGAAATTCCAAAAAAAAAAAAATAAGAAAATTTAAAAAGGCAACCATAATTAGAGGCAGGATTGGGGTTTAGAGAGGCAGAGGGAGGCCAAGGGAATGGTGCCTGCTCCTGTGCAAGGAAGGCCTATGCCCACTCAGGGCCTTAGGCCCTCATCTGTAAGCGAAACAAAGGAGCACTCAGAACAGTGACAGGAATGACAGTGCCCAGGGGAGCCAGTGTCCAGAGCACTCTGGGACACTAGGCAGGTATATGGCTGGTATGTGAACAATTTGATGATTTAGAAGCCTTACAGGTCAGGTGCAGTGGCTCATACCTATAATCCCAGCACTTTGGGAAGGTGAAGCAGGAAGATCGCTTGAGCCCAAGAGTTCTAGACCAGCCTGGGCAACACAGCAAGATCCCATCTCTCAGAAAAATGAAAAAATTAGCCATGCATGGTGGTGTCCTCCTATAGTCCTAGTTACTCAAGAGGCTGAGGTGGTAGGATCATTAAGCTTGAGTCTGAGGCCACAGTGAGTACACTCCAGCCTGGGTGACAAAACACACAAAAAAGCCATATAAAGATGCATACTTTTTTATCTCAGGAGTCAACGGTACTCTCAATGAAATTCTAGGAAACCATATACAGCTTAAATACTCAATAATAGCAAATTGGATAAACTGTGGTATGTTAAGAGCGATAAGGTCTATATCTACCTGAAAAAATGCTTACAAAACAGTTAAATGAAAAAAGTGGGCTAAAACAATAGGCAGATTGTGTTTATTTATGCATGTGTTTTTGTGTGTTATGCAGGGACTGTGTGGATTAACCACATTCATACCCGTAGGTAGGTACCTACGTACGTACGTATGTACATATGTATGTTTCTCTGAGAGAATATGGATAAAAATGTTAATACGGCTACCTGTTAATTTTAGGAACATGGAGGATTCTCTTGCAGTGTGTCCCTGGGCATGAAGAACCAGAGGCAGCAGATGGGCCCTTGCAGGTTCTGGGCTCAGTGACAGGCCTTGTAGTCGTGCTGTGTCTCTCTATAAACTCACGCTCTCCCTGGTCTCCTGAGACCTCTGTGTTCAAGTCAGAATGATTTTTTTTTTTTTTTTTGGTTCAGTTGTTTCGGTTTGTTTAAGAGCCTAAGAAGTGACAGAGGTCTGGGTGTCAACTGTATGCCTAACTCAGGGCCTTGGCTACTGACTAGGTTGGATCCTGATCATTGCTGCCACAACCACAGGGATCCTGCTTCATTCTCATTCCTTCAACTGGCAAAGGTCCGCAGTTCACTAGAGTGGCCCCTGCCAATGCCACACAGCTTTACAGGTGCAGATGTGGCTGCCACCCAGCCACACTAGGCACCTTACAGCTGGGTCAAATTGGACGTGGAGCCCGAAAGGCACCCAGGCTCCTAGGGACAGGCCTTTAGTCAGGACAGGTAAAATTAAAGAACGGCTCCTGAGAGCAGGGGTCTCAGTCACTACTGCTTCCCTGAGGCTGGGCGGGGGGTGGTGACTTTAACAGAGAGGTTAAGGTGAACTTGGAAAGACAAAACAGGAACATTTTTACAAAATGCTATTATCAAGAGGCAGGAGCTCATGCATCTCTTTTGTGTATTATTGTGAGAAGGTCAAACAGCAGAAACATACAGAAAGGATAAGAGAATTGAACACTTTAAAGAATTTGGTGAGAGGACAAATGATACAGAACATTCAATAGAAGTGACCGTTGGAAATGAGACTTTAACAGCATTGGTGACTACATTGAAGGAGACGGGAAAACCAGGTTTCTTATCCTTTCTTTTGGTATGTGAGGTAGGGGGCTGCCCAGCAGTGCTTGAAACAAGGCAGTGCTCAACAGGGGACAATTTTAGTACTGGGTTTCATTCTGCAAACACGCCTGCTATCTCAGAATCAGAACATCATTAGGGTGAGGTCACCAGAGCACACCAACAGCTGTCACCATAAACACTCATCTGACACTTTGCTCATAAAAGCAAACTGTGTCGGCTACTAGAGAAGCAGCGGAGCAAACCGGTGCAGCCTGCAGACGCGTTTCCTCACTCACATTTGGGAACGGACTATGGAAGAGTAGCTACACCCGCAGCAGGTGCCTGCCTCATGAGACGGCCCTGGCCCTGAACCACACCCACAGCCAGGCAGAGGGCTGCAGCCAAGCTCCCCAGTTAGCTGCCTGACCCTCCGCCTGCCCGCCCGCAGGCCTCCCGTTTTCAGCGCAGTCCTGTTCAGAAAGACTGCTAGCTCCCATCCCCCCTCGCCTTACAAGAGAACACTGTCTGAATTTGACAGTGCCAATAGTTTAACTAGTCTGTCAAACTCAAGTGTGGCTGGAGTCAGGGCCTCATGCAGGGCAGGCCCCACGGGAAGGTGCAGCAGAGCTGCTCATCTGCAGTTTACACGGCCTGGTCCCGGGGCAGGCAGGTGCGGCCCGGCGGTGGCACTCACCTGCGCATGCACTCCAGGGCCTGGGTGAAGACCTGGGGGGCCATTCCGTGCTCGTGCTGCAGGATCAGACACTGCTCCAGCGTCACTGACATGGCCGTGCGGTCCTTGGCACTCTTGCAGCTGGTAAACCGGACCCCGTTAAGGCGGCGGCAGATCTGCCAACAGGAAAATGGTCTGTGCTTGGGAGCGGGGACTTCGCAGAAAGGCAGCACCCACCCTTCACCCACTAGAGGCTCCCGACTGCCCAGCAAGGGCCTGAGACAGAAACTCAATACCACGCCTGGCCAGACTCCCTGTTTCTGTGCCCCAATTCTGTGTCCTGTCAGAGCTGGTAACAAAAACCTGGTCACTTACAAACCCCTGCAGTGCCCCATGTGCCTGCATTCTCCACAGGTCGCTCCCTCTCAGTCCAGCCTCCCTTCCTTTTGAGGAATCATCATCCATTCACTGGCTCTTACCAGCTGCCCCCTTCCAAATCACGCCTGGGCCCTCCTGTCACGTTCAGCTCTTCCCTGCTGATCCCTTAGGGAAAGATGGCAGCAAAGATGACCCACTCAGGGAAAGCCAAGGATGCCACATAAGCCCCTGGCCAGGTGTCCAGGCCTTTCTGAAAGGCAGGGGACAGACCTGCTGATATCCACTCTCCTCCTCCATCCATACAGACAGGAACAGCTTAGAAGTTCCACTTCCTTTTAGCCACCTCCTGCCCACCAGACCCCACAGACCCTTCCCACCATCCCCGCCCCAGGCACAGGATTGGCCCTGCAGGCTGGGCTTCCCTCCTCAAATAAGATGGCTCACATGGTGGGGGCAGGGGCTGCCTCCAGACTGGGAAAAGGCTAAGTGCATGTGCCTCTTCTCCCTATGCAGAGAATATTTGGGGGCATTTCCTCTGCACTGCTAGAGACGAAACTAGGTACACAGTCACCAAATCCAGCAAGCTCTAAAACAGAAAATATTTTTTTTTCTAAGTTTATTGCAACCTCATTTGGCAGCACAACCAGATCTGAGCTGATGTGAGACTGTTTATAATCTTTATTTATCCCATTTTATATAAATATTCATACTTTTCAGTGAGGAACTATGAGTCTGATTCCAGAGTACTACCCAGGCTCCCTGAGGGTTATTATATCATATATGTACTAGATACTGCAGAACACATACGAAATCTGTGCCATATTACACAACAAATGCCAGCTGTGTGCCATGTTACTTTTCTAAAATCGGAAAAACAGCCAGGCCTAGTGGCTCATGCCTGAAATCCTAGTACTCTGGGAGGCCAAGGTGGGTAGATTGCTTGAGCTTAGAAGTTCCAGACCAGCATGAGCAAAAGTGAGAACCTGTTTCTACTAAAAACAGAAAAACTAGCTGGGCATTGTGGTAGGTGTGTATAGCCCCAGCTACTTAGGAAGCTGAAGCAAGAGGATTGCTTTAGCCCATGAATTTGAGGTTACTGTGAGCTACGAAGCCATGGCACTCTACCCAGGGTGACAGAGTCAGACTGTCTCAAAAAAAATAAAATAAATAAATAATAAAAAAAATAAAATCTGAAAATCTGGGAATTCTAAAATTTCTGGCTACAAGAACTTCAGATATAGGGCTGCGGACCTTATCAGATACCACCCTGTATTTAATGAAAAGCCATCCCAGTTACACAGTGGTGGGCTCCAGTTATCTGTTGTAATCCAGAAAAACATCAGTCATGACAACTGCCCTGAAGATGGCACTGTACCTGCTTCTCAGACCAGCAAAGCCAAGAACAGGTTAGTCACTACTGGGAACATGGAGCAGTCCTAAGAACCACGTCCAGCAAAACACAGAATACAAAAGGCCCAGAGTTCCGTCAAGTCAAGCAGAAAAAGGATGGGCTTCTTTTGGGAACAGACAAAAGCTGGGCAGGGGGAACAAGACCCTAAGCTAGTGAAGAGTGATTTAATCAAATTTGTAAAAATCATAACTGACAAAGCAAGGGTGAACTTGGTATGCTCACTGATTTCTACGGGCTGCAGAGGTCATGACCAAACACGTGGCACAAGCTGGAACTAAATCATTTTCAAAAGAACATTTCACTTCCTAGATGATGCACCAGAGCTAACATAAGATTCTGGAAGGCAGGCAGGGGTGGCTAGGAGTACATCTGGGAAGTTGTAGTGCCAACTTTGGTGTGCTGGCTGGGTACTCCCTCTCTGAAATGAGGGTTTAGACCTGACAGTCCAGCTTAGTTTAGCTCGGGATTTGTTTATACACAGAAATGAAAAGAAATAAGATCCAGGAAAGGACTGCAGCTCTGGTCAAGCTGAAGAGAGAAGACCCAGTACCTGAGTGGTGTGGCACTGCTGTCCCTACACCTACCTGTCCTCCAGGGGGACGCCCAAGGTTTGAAGGGCAACATGAGAGCTGAGGGTGTGAATCTAGACTTGCCTCTGAGTCTAGGCTTCTATACCTCAGGGTCTCTGCTAGGAACAAAAAAATGCACACCTGGATAGACTGCTTTTTTGTTCTAGTGACAGGGAATGGTCCATTGTCCCTATGTTTAATGATTTTTCTATCATATGGCAATAGAGAAACAGAACCATAGTTCCCAAACAAGGTATGCCCAAGGTCTGTGCATCCAGACTATAAAGCCGTCTGTTTATTCCAAGGAGAATGAATTAGTGAGTGTATGTTCTGTGTCACTGTTCAGAGATACCCTCTGGGCTCTGTGTCATGGGAAAGTCTTACTTTTTGTCTAAAGTCTCTCAAAGGTATTTTTGTAAGAGGCTGTAACAGCCTGGCCAGGGATGTTTGGCAGCCCCATGAAAAAACAAAATATAAGAAAGTAGAGGAGGCTTGCAGCAGGCACATGCCCCCTTGCTCATGGAATGGCCTGAGCAAGTCATGCTGGATGAGCCCCTTGGCCCAAGAGGCTACTTGAAAAATGAGGCCTGTGAAATCTGCTGAGCTTTCTGTACTTGGTGCCTCCAAATGTGTTCTGCTGTAATTAAAAAGGGCAGCCTGGCTCGGAGAGGAGAGATGGGCAGACTGACCCACCCCACGTTTTCCAGCAGTCTTTCCAGTGGGGGTACTTGACAGGATCAATGAATAGATTAGTATACAGAGGGGAATGTTCACTCTTTAAAGCTTAATTCAATAGAACACTATCAGAAGCCATGGTCTGATGGCTTAACACACCCACAATATGTAACACATTCCAAAAGATGGACTTTGTGAAGCAAAACTCTTGAATACAGGATCTAATAAGTGACTCAGAATGGCCATCAAGCACCATGACTAGCCAAGACCCTCTGAAGCTGCAGAAGAGATGTAGGACTGAGAGAAACACTCTCCTGACAAGGACAGTCATACTTGGGGAAAGCTGTGGGGATGTCCCCATGTGCTGCTTGGGCTCTGTGACATGAGGCAGTGGCTCGGCCATGGTGGGCAGTGCAGTGCCACCATGCTCCTGTGCCCACCCTTTCCTTTCCTCAGGCTCAGACGGGGAGCTGGAATGCCACTTGGGGCCACTTATACCTGAGTCCCAGTGCTGGAGAAGTTATTCTGTTACAGACAAGAGGTAAGCTCAGCCCCTCAGCACTGGTGGGAGATGACTAGCCATGACATTGCTCTGATGCCCAGGCTCAGAACTGAGGAATTTCAAGTAAATTTGTGAAAGGACTTGGGAAAGCTAAGAAATCAAAACCTCAAAGTATGAGAAAGATTGTTTAAAGAGATGTGAAGGGTTGCCATAGTCTCCCTCTGAACCTATTAAGAGATGCAGGAGGCAGAGAGTTTTCGCTGCTATCTACACACAAGTTTCTGAAGGTGACAACTGTCATCAGCCTGGCTATTAAGTCTCCCATGGGACAGACCGTATCAAGCTTATCAGAATTCTAGCAGCCCTCACAGGCATGAGCTCACAGGCAAGGTTTGGCATCTTCCAGAGTGTTAGAACATATTCAGTGAGCCCACATGGAGAAATGTGCTCTCTCCGCTTCCTGAGAGCTGAGATTTTGATTTAACATTTTTGTCATGAGTTTTGGTCCTTTTCCTCACTATAATGAGTACCTCAGCGGCTTGCCAGAGAATGTCGACGTTCTTATTCTTCCGGGCATGCACATTCTGACCTAGAAACCGCAGCAGCTCCGGCAGGCATGTCTGACTCCGAGATCGAGGTAGGCCTGGAAGAGAAAAGGAGTCCGTGGGAGTTGGTGCTGCACCCAGGAAGTTGCCCTGACAGTGGGAGGCCATCCAAGTAAGCTGCTGTGGCCCAGAAACACTAAAATGGTGAATGCACAGCCAAAGCAAGAAAGGAGGGTGGGTTTGGGAACTGGCATGTCTACTAGTAAGGTGAGCACTCAATCTCACTGCTATTTTAGTGCGACCTTTATCTCCTCTTGGCAAATCTGAGGGGCAGATACTAAGTCCCCTAATAAACTTCCTATAAATACCCATGCCCCCCTAAAAGGAGGGGGGAGGGAAGCCCACATGGTCTCCAACACTTCTACTAGAGGGGAGGACACTTGGAGCAGCAGGTGTTGGCCACTGAGTGGGCCTGGAACCCCTGGGAAGATCTGGAACATGACCTTAGCCCACAACATTTCTGAAGGCTCTGGGAGGCCTCTCCCCACTCTCATAGCATCCCTCTTCCACTCTGGCAGGCTCCTGAAAATCCATCAGATCACCTCACTTAGGAAATCCAGGACAAAATCCAGGAAAAATCAACCACTCTTCAAGGCACACTGAGATTTTCAGATGCTGAGATTAACAAAGACATCAAGGTCGTGGCTAAGGAAAATTCCACAGTTCCTGAATCCCCAAATCAAAACCATTTGGGATCTAACTACACGTAGTTTCCACCATGCACCCTGTCCCTAATGCACACGCGACCCCGTGCTAATCATCTCATGTGCTGGCTTCCTGGCAGTGCCAGCACTATACTGTCTAGGGGACAGGGCCAGATACAGAGAAACAGAAAGAAGGCCCCTCCCTTGAGAGGCTCAGCTCAGAGGAGGGGTTTAAGGTCAGGGCACACACCCTCCAGAGATAGTCTGATCTCGCCTCTCATAATCAACTGTGGCTTCTCCCTGGGCACCCCGACAGCCCCTAGTTTAGTGACTACCTGCCCATGGACAGACTGTGCAGACTTCATGGGTATTCCATGGGTAGGATCCATCTTCTCAGCCTCACAGACCAGCAGTTCTCCTGGGCCTGACAGGTGCATAGGCCATGGCTGTCCAGCTCCCTGGGTTGTGGTCCAGTCTGCTGGCTCCACTTGGGAGGTACAGCTAGCCTGGGCTGCTGCTGTTCCCATAGGCCTCACTCTTCCTCAGCTTTCATCATTAGTCTACTTTATCACCCCCCAGGTCCTTGACAGCACTAGAAACTGCCTGCCCTCCATGATGCTGGCACAGAATCCCCCCTTCCTGACACTGCCACTCACTGCTACTATTCCTTCCGCCCTCAGCGCACCTGTCCCTCCCTACTGTGGCTCCCTGGCTGGCCCCACCAACACTCTTGTCCCTCCCTCCACAGTCTGTCTATCCGCAGAAGTCAGAAGACACTGCCTGGGCTTGACCCAGGCTGCCCAGGAGGTGCCCTCCATGCCTCAGAGTCTTCCCTGCCAAGTGGGTGTGAAACTAGCACTGCTGTTGGGGCTGCTATGGGGATCACTGTATGTGGATTATTATGTACAGTGGGCAGGAGAGGGCCAGGCTCACACCAAGTCCTCAACAGGTCTGCCATTACTTGTAATCACTGCTGTGGAAGGTGAGGCCACCTCAGGACCAGGCTCTTATGGACCTGTACTGCTGACCCTCAGTTGAGGCCCTGGAGGAGCCTCTTCATGTATGTTCTACCTGGCAGCAGCATGCAGGTCACCGGCAAGTTCTTGAGACTCTGGTGCCCAGGCCCTGCCCACCACATTCTGCAGTGGGGCCCAGGCATCAGTACTGTCTCCAGCTTTCTGGGGACCTCTACTGTAGCCAGGGCTGGGAGCCACAGCCTCCAGGAGTCAGCTGCATCCATGCTAAGTCTCCCGCACTCCTCTCCAGCAACTGGTTCTGTGCCCACCTCTCGTGTGTTCAGTAAAGAGCAGCCCTGCTCCCCTGGGGAACCACCACCCAAGCTACTGTGTTCCTCCTTCATGTCCCTACCCTCTTCTCCTCCCTCCTTGCCAGGGTACTGTCTGCCTGGGCTCTCTAGGACCTGGTTTGCAGCTCTGTCATCCTCCTGCACCTTTGGTTCCTTCCCTCAGGCCTCTATGCACAGTGCCATCACCCCTGGAGCTCCAGGCTGTGTCTAGCCTCCCTTAGTCCCAACCATCACACTGCTGCCCATCTTTGGGACAGATGGGTCCATTCCAAAACAGCACCATTTTGTCAACACTTGCTCCCCTGGCCTACCCTTCACTACACTGAGACTGTCCCCTGAGCTCACCAGAAGGTCTTTGTCCACAAACTCAGAGACTGCAGTAGCCCACACCCCTGGTTCCTACCTCCTTGACTGCCTGCTTCCCACATGCTGGTGGCACCCTCTCGGGCCCATCTGTTGAATCCCTTCTTCCTCACCAGCCCCAGATGCTGTCTTTAAGCCCCATTCTCATCCTGTCAATCACGAAGGGCCTCACTCTGTGGCTGCACATCGCACTGCCCACAGGCGGTCTGGCCAGGTCACAAGCTTAGCGGGTGCTGGTGCTGTGCTCGCTTCTCTCCTTTGTCTGCCCACTGCTGCAGCTGCCACAGCTCCAGTGTCCCACCCCTGTGCCAGGGCTTCAGCCCTCCCTAGCTGGCACCTCCCTTGCCTCCCTGACATCAGTGTCAGGTGGCCACAGGGGAACTGGTCTTCAGCTCGAGCTCTTCTCAACACCTCGCCCCTTCTCTCCATATGCCCCATCACTCCAGGCTGGGGTCAGACAGTGAAAGGATGTCTCACCCGCCTACCAGCAGCTTGTGCCCCCTCCACCCATCCAGCAGCACTCCTGCTGGAGGGACCCGTGTAAAGGCAGCTTTTTCACACTGCTTCCCTACCGAGCACCACTAACGTAGTGCAGACACCGCCCGGCCTGGCCCCAGAAGTCCTCTGTGGCAGTGTCTCCTAACAGCAGGGCTGTGACGCCAGGCAGCCCTTTCCTGCACCTGTACGTGGACATGAGCACTGACCTCACAGGCCTGCTGTGGGATTCCGGGAGGGGACATGCGTGGGCACTCAGCCCAGTGCCTGGTACATCAGTGCCGGTTCACCAGCAGTACTGTCCTACTAGTATTTCTAAACTCTAAGACCTGCCACACCTTCCAACAGAAAGCAAATGACACCTGCCTGCCCCTTCCCAGCTGATGTGGACGTGGTCTTCCCTCTTTAGAAACCCCTATTAGAAAACACCAGTGTAACCTGAGGTAGGGACGTGTCTCCGTGAGCTGTGTGGCACCCTCAGTGACCGCAGCAGTGCCTACACAGACAGGCAGGGTGTTCTCGGGTGGTTTTCCCTCCAAGGGTCTGTCTCATTCACCATTGGGTCCTGTGGCACTTTACCTATGGCAGGTGCTCAGGGGATACTTAACTGGGTGGAATTTGGGATAAATATCCCACACATAAAGACTGTGCTGTGTATGCCCTATCTCTTCCCTGAGTTCTACAACTTCCAGAGTAGGGTCTTCACTGGGGGAACATAGAACTATGTGTCAGAGGTGGGAAGACCACTGTCATCTCTCTGTGGGTGTGCGACACTGTGACAGGGACCATCTTGCCAAATATCCACCAACACCTGCCCTGCATCTTACTCCTAAGCACCATGGAGGCTGGTGCACGAGTAGCTCACTAGGCCGAAGGTGGCTCCTGCCTCTGTGATCTCTCATGTCCTACTAGCAGGTGCACGATTCATGCCACTGGTTATGAAAGTGTGTGGGAAAGCCCACATCACATAGGTTAGAATAGACAGCGGAGAGATAAGCAAGGGCTGCAGCCAAGGGAAGCTTCTCTGGGTGGGGATTCAAGCCAGGAAGAGTCCGAAGAGGTGAACAGGCTGTGTGTGCGTATATGTGTGTGTGTGCATGTGCATGTGTGCATGTTTGTGTGTACCTGTGTATATGTACATGTATGTGTGTGCACACATACGTGTACTGGGGTAGGAGGCGGCAGGGGAGCAGTGCAGACTTGCATGCTCAGACACATGGAAGCTGGGCGAGCCAGGCAGCGCGGAGCAGAGGCCTGAGCTTGGCCATCCAGTGAGGACAAGATTAGCAGAGGAAACCTACCACGAATGAAGAAATACTCACAATCCTCAGGCAAAACTTCCTTAAACTGCTCAAAGTAGGAATTTAACCGCACCAAACTCTCCACATTGATGACCTCTTGTAAAGATGTATCACCAAACCTTGGGAAGTTAAAAAGGGATGCCGTTAGTTGGCTAACACCACCATCCTCTAACATGAACACAGCTGCGTGACAGCTAACGATACTGACTCTTTCAAACAGTAATTTGCACATCTAAATCCTAAGCCGCTTTCCTCATACTGAGCACAAAGTCCCCTCTACAGTGTAGGCACCATCTACATACATTCCGTTGGCATGAACCCCGTGTAATCTGTCAGGCACAGTCCTAAGAGATTATCAAAACATGATCTGCACCAGCCCTGGAGAGCAAGAGCCCCACTCATGTGGCACAGGAACCCCTTCTAAGGGCCATTTAGCTCACAGCCCCCATGTCCTCCCTTCTCAGGTGTACTTAGCAGAGGGGATGGCAGTCGGGTGTGGCTGGGGAGGGAGGGCACAGCCCTGCATGCCAACCTGATAGACTGTCCTAGACTGACGTGAGGCCCTCCTCTCTCTTTTCCCATCACTCAGGTTCATCCTGTCTATACCCCACATGCTGCAAGCTAGCTGTGCCAAATGCCCAAGGGAAAAGGTCACAACATACAGCCTACAAGGCAGGCACAAGATGGTCATTAACAATGCCAGCTCTGAAGTCCAAGTGCCCAGGGCAGCCCCAGCACTCCCCTGAGTATCAGCCTCTTTAGGGTCTTATCACACCACTCAGAGGGTGGTGGGCACAGGTCTCCCACCCCTGGTGCCCACATTGGCATTTCCCCTAGGTGTCTGCTCCCTTGGGGACTGTCCCTCACAAATGGCCCAGGACCATGGCTTCTCTTCTCTGGGGCCCTCCCCTCAGCTCATAAGCCAGCCCAGCTCACCAGGGTCCTGGGAGCAAAGGAAGAAACAAAGCCAAGCCCCTGCCCTCTCCCCGGCCTCCCCATCCTCAGGGTGCACTGCATATAACTGCCTCAACCTCTCCAGAAACTGCTCTTGTAGCATCATCAGTATGTCGTGGGGGATCAACAGCTGCCAGATACGGAGAGCAATACTCTCCCTCCCCTGGACCACCTCCCTGTGGGGGCTCTTGTGAGGCTGCCACCTTCCCTGATGTGGGCTCCTCCAGCTCTGCTCACACCTTTGGGACTCTGCTTCCTGGGCTGGTGTCCTCAGCCCAAGCTCAGGTCACCATCGGCCCCTGACACCATACAATCCTGGTTTGTGTGCTCAGTTGTTGGCACTGCCCCACATACTCTTGGGGGGTCTAGAAGCCTGGGAGGGTCTGGTGCACTCTCCTGCTTCTCTCTCTCTCTCTCTCACTCAGGGCCACTGAACTCCATGCCCTTCCATTTACTACTTCATAGTTCTCCTGGCTGTCACCCTCAGAACACATGCCATACCCCCTGCCCAGGCCAGGTTAGTGCCTCTGACCCAGACTCTCTCCAGCAGCCTCCTAGCACACTCCTCGGCCCCTGCGCCCTCACACCTCCTCCCGGCATGTGCCAGACATGATCTACTGAAAATGTACACTTGTTCCTGTCCTGCCCTACTGAAAGTTACTCAGTGTCTCCAGAAGCCACAATATACTTCCTAGGTGGGGTGACATACCCTACACTGAGTGGGTCAATGGACACTGACCACTCACTGGGCTCAAAGGGCCCAGCAGGAATATGGTGTATCACCCTGGAGGCCTAATTTCCTTAACAACAAGTACTTTAAGACATCTTTTCATACTAAAATATCCATATCACATGAATTTAAAGGACGACACAGGAGAGA